GGAGCCCCCGGGGAAATACGGGCCAATGTTGCCAATTTTTAATTTGGCCCCAAAAAAACTAAAGGGGGTTTCCCATTTTCAACACCGGCAACCTGCAGAAAAAGGAGCTGGGGCCGGAGAAATATTTTTCCCCTCAGTTTTCTGTACTTTTTTTCCCCGACTGCACCCATAGAGGAAACAAGGGATGGGGAGACAAATCTTGGCCCCGCAATTTCGTTTTAGCGTCATTGGGTTTACCCCCCGGCTAGGGGGATCGCCACTTCTGCTAAAACAAAAGTCCCCCTCATTGGGTTTTAAATTTTAACCGTACCCTTTCCCCCCCGAATAGCGTTTCAAAAAGTAAAAACAAAGAGCACAAGCAGGAAAACCACCAAGGCAAAACAAATTTTTGAAAAAAGCCCCGCCCGAAGTTTGGGGTATAGAATGAAAGCTGGGGGTTTAAAAAGGAGGGCAGGTGTAAAAAGCCCCCTTTAAAGGAGGGCGGAAGGGAAAGGGAAACCCCACTAAAAACAGTTATTGTTTAGAAAAAGGGTTTCCAAAAAATTTTCCCGGGTCCCAAAAACCCACAAAGGTTTTTAAAGAAGAGGTGGTTTAATAAAGAAGGGGGGGAAATAAGAATGATTGGGGAAAAAATCGCGTCCCTGTAAATCCGGGAAGGAAAAGACCAGGTGAAGTCCCAATGCGGGGGGGGGAAAAAGCAGACTGGAGAAACGATGCAAGGGGAATTTTGATTTCCCAGGATCAAAATGGGTGCGAGTAACCCCGTATTTTTAAAAAATTGGGGGGGTGGGTAGCAAGAAAAACCTCTTTAAATGAATTCCATTTGGGAAAACAAAAGTTGAACCCCCCGAGGAAATGATGGGGCCCTTAAAATCGCCAAGTAACAGAAGTTTGGGGGTAAAACGAAACAAGAAAGGCAATATTCCCGGGCAGGGAAAAGCCCCAGAAGGGAAGAATACAAAGGGAAAAGAGTGTATACCACCCTAAGGGAAGTTGGAAACGGGCTGCCCTTTTTAATGCAGCCAAATACGAACAAAAAGCCGAAGGTTTCGGAAAATCAGTGCGTAAAAGAAAGACGCTTTCATTAAAGGGCCCATATAAAAGGATCTAAAAAAAAAATTAAACCCAAAAAAAATTATAGCCTGAAAAAGGGGGAGAAAAGGCAGAGTGTAATTTTTGGGTTCCCCGTAACAAACACAAAACAGGGGGAAAAATGGGGGAAAGGGGAAAATCCTTTAATCCCCCCCCGATTACCCCCCGAGGCGCGAAAATTCCCCCGGGGAAAAAGGGCCATGATTGGAAACGATAAAGATACCTGAAATCCACAGGTAAGGGGACCAAAAAGACCCAGAAGAAATTTTTGAAAAAAATCCACATTTGGTGGCAAAGGAAAAAGTTTCCCAAATAGCGAAGGAACGGTGCTTTTTGAAAAAGGATTTTAGCAGATGGAGTAAAGGAAAAAAAGGAACAGAAAGGGGGGATCATTTTCCCTTGATGCTTTGGGGCTCTGCAATATTTTTCAGAGATTGGGGTTCAAGTGTTTTTGGAGTTTTAGAACCGGGTTTTAATTTGGGAAAACAATTTTGGAAAAGGAAGGGGGAGGAGTTTTGGGGTAAAGAACAAAACTGTAATGGACTGCCCCAAAGGGAAGGGGGGGGGGGCGAAAAAGGGGGAAAACTGGAGAAAAGGGGAGAGGGGACAGAAGAGGCCCGAAAAACCCGGGGGGTAGCAGAAGGAAGAAGCTTGGGAGGGGACAAGGGGGGGAAAACAAAAGAAGAGGAGGAGGATTAAAACCCCCACACTTTTCAAAAAAGAGCCCCGTGAAAGGGGGGAAGGAACCCAGATACAAGACCTGGGGAAAGGGAAAAAGTGGAGGTGGAAAGAAGGGAAGGAAGGGTTTTAAAAGGGAATTTTTGGACCTCTTAAAGTAGAGGGGCGATTTGGGGGGGTGCGTACGAGGTCTTTGTTTGATAACCCCGGGGTTTTTTGGGGGGGAGAACACGAAGAAGTGAGGGCAGACGAGGGAATTTAAGTAGGGACGGCTGGCCCAGGACACAAAAAAAATTTGAAAACAGGAAAATGACTAAAGAGACGGGGGGAAACCGGGAAGGAGGCTGCGAAGAAAGGGACCCCAAAGGGGGGACATTTTTGAAACACGAGAATAAGAAAAATGGGGTAGTCTCCCTTGGAAAGGGGGAGATGAAAAAAACTGGGCCCTGCATAAGGGGACCTTCTGCCTTTTTGAGGCAAAGAATTCCCACTCATTTAAGTAACCCTGGCAACAGTGAGAGTAAAGAAGGGTGGAGCCCATGACAATTAAGGCAAAAGGGAGTCGAAAAACCCAAAAAGTATTAAAAATTGGGGCAACGGCCCCACAAACCCCGGGGATTCAGCAAAAATCTGCAATATTTTTTTTTGGGGGCCAAATTGCCAAACAATTCCCCACACCCGTTGCAGGAAAGGGAACACTTTCCCAACCCTTTTAAAATTTTGTTTCCGCACCAAACAAAGGATGGGAGTTTTACGGGGTGTCAAAATTTAAAAGAGCCAAAATTGCAAGGGTATCGTCCCACTCCGCCCCGGGGGGGGAAAAAACATAAGGCTCCTTTAGAATTTGGGGGTTTTTGGAGTTCCACTGTTTGAAAATTTCATTTCCACATTCTGGAAATTCTTTTTGGGCATGGTCTGAAAAATGAAATGTGGGGGAGGGAGTTTCCCGACCCCTGGTTTTGGTCTTTTTCCGTATAGAAAAGGGAAGGTTTAAAAAAGTAACATCGTCAGGGGAAAAAATCCCTTGGGCGTTTTAGAAAGTGGGACCCAGAAATTTGGTCCGACGAAGATTTCATTGGGAAAATTTGAAAATCGTTTGCACCATAGATGGGGGAGGCCAGAAGCATAGTCAAAGGAGAGCGGAGGTCAACAAATTAAAGGGGTCAGTGGAAGCCCCGGGAAACCCGAAGTGGGTTAGGAAAAAGCACCAGCCAAAAGGGACAGGGGGCCTTTGGGGGTGCCAAAGAGTGGGGCCCAAAAAACAATGAGGTCAGAACAAGGTGCGGTAACAAAAAGGGGGCCCGGGGGGGTAGCGGGGGCATGGATTTGGGACTTTTCCCTGGGGTTTTGGTTACCTTTTTTTTCCCTTTTTTTTTTTTAAAAAAAAAAAAAAGAAGAAAATAAAAATAAAAAAAAAAAAATAAAAAAAGGGGGAAACCCCGGGGGGGGATAAAAACCCCCAGGAGGGAATAGAAAAGGGGCCCAAAATCATCCCTCTTCCCCAAGAGGACCTCAGCACCGCAAGTAAACGCAGATTTCAGCAAGGAAAACCCCTGCCCCTAAAAATGCCCTCCAATCCATTTAAACCCCGCAATCTTGGGGAAAGCAACCTCAAAACTCAGCCGAGCTAAACCCCGGGAAAAAAAGAGAGGGCGGGCCGGGAAAATCCGCCACAAAGCAAAACCTTTCCTTTTTGGGCCCCCCCCCCCAAAATCCCAAAAGGGGGCGCCAAGAAACACCCGTCCCCCGAAAGAAAAACCCAAAAAACCACCCTCCGGGGTACCCCGGGGAGGGGATCGGGACATCCCCAGGAATCCAGATCCCACGGCAAAACACGCCCCCGGGCCCAAGGGAACCCAACGGGAAAGGGATGGAAACCCCCGGTACCCTTTTCCCCCAAAGTATGAACAAAATAAACCTGTGGGGAAAAAACCCAAAGGGCCCAAAAGGGGAAAAGGGGAAAAGGGGGGGGTGGGAAGGAGGGAAAAGGGAAAAAGGGGAGGAATTGGGGAGGGGGGATAGGGGAAGGGGGGGTTGTGGGGGTAATTAGGGTTTTGTCTTGAGGAAGGAGACCGACCAAAGGGCCCAATTCCCCAGAAACAAGAAACCTCTTCCCCCACGCCAAAGGGGTCCCCCCCTTTAAAGGGGGTTACTTTTTAAAAAGTTGAATTTCCCCAAAAGACTGTTTTGGGGAAATTTTCAAGAACTCCTCCCAAATGCAGGTTTTCTGGGAAAAATTAAACCAAAACCCGGTTTTTTTACTTTTATTTCAATTTTAAAAAAAAGCAAAATTTTTTTAAAAAAGGGGGTAAAATGGGTAATAGAAAAAAAGACCCCGTTTTCCTTCTGCAAATACACTGGGCTTAGAGAACACAATTTTCGTTTTTATTTTGGGGAAAAAAAAAAGAACTTCCAATACGATAAATTTTTTAAATACTATTTAGACTGGGGCCCTAATAACCCTGTACTTCCCCTTTTTAAAATAAGATGAATAAAAAAAAAATCCAAAGGGGTTGGGTAGGAGATTAAAACATCTTTTTTGGTGGGAAGAGGAGAGGCAAGCTTATGAACCAATATGCTCATATTAAAAGAGCAGTAAAAAAGAAAAACTTAAGAAAAGCTGAATGAGTCTATGAAATTAAGTTGCAAAGAATCCAAAATAAATCAGAGATGTTTCTTTCAAGTATATGAAGCAATGATTAAGAGAGAAATTGGAGTTACTTAAAATTAAACTCGGGATATCTTACTGAAAATGAGAAAGACATGTGCTCAAAACTTAACAATAATTTCTTAGAAGACTTCAAATAAGAAACAAACAAAAATCTAGAAATAAGTTAGTAATAGCCCTGTCACCAGAGACGTGGCTTTTAAACAAGTGAACCGAGTAAAGCAAAATAAATATTGAACATATTTAATCAAGAAAGAATTCGAAATATCATATTCACGTTGAATAAATTCAGATTTAAAAAATGAATAGGAAAATACTGGTTTGGAATAAAGTTGTCGATGAGTGGAACAAACTGCCAATCAGTCATCACTGCTATTAGATAGAGTATTTTTACAATTAGCAAAAGCCTTATAAATTTTATCATGGAGTAAATGAATATGTGATGGAATCTATAACAATTGTACATTAATGAAGGTGGCCGTTGTGGCAAAAAGATAATGAACTGAAAATATTTAACCAAAACAGAATCTGCAGAAATATATCTGACAACTTTAGATTTAAAATGGATATACGAAATCACTGGTTTGGCAGTCGAGTTGTGGACGATTGGAACAAACTTCCAAGTAACGTCTTTGAAGTGAGAACTTTTGGTAGGTTTCAAAATAGGCTGGACAAGTATGTGAGATGATGCAGGTGGGTGTGAGTTAGACCTGCCTAGCACAGGTTAGTAGACGTACTGCTGTGCTCCTCTATTCCTATGTTAATTAAGATAAGATAAGATTTCGTTCGGATTTTTAACCCCGGAGGGTTAGCCACCCAGGATAACTCAAGAAAGTCAGTGCGTCATCGAGGACTGTAACTTATTTCCATTGGGGTCCTTAATCTTGTCCCCCAGGATGCAACCCACACCAGTCGACTAACACCCAGGTACCTATTTGCTGCTAGGTGAACAGGACAACAGGTGTAAGGAAACGTGTCGAAATGTTTCCACCCGCCGGGAATCGAACCCGGGCCCTCCGTGTGTGAAGCGGGAGCTTTAGCCACCAGGCCACCGGGCCACCGGGCCATTGCAACCAGTACTTTGAAAAGTTTTAAAAAGAGGTTGGATAGGTACATCAGTGGGTGCGAGTAGGGCGTGCCTAGTTTAAATCAGCAGACCTATTGCCATGTTTCTTTATTCTTATATACTTAGGTATGGGTCATATAGTGCCAGGGAAATGGGAAGTACGATCCAGGAAGGTGGAGAGTATCTCGGATAATTTGAATTATAATCCTTTCACCAGTATCAAAGCGGCACCTTGAAGGCTTTCCAGTATTTTATAAGTTTCTCATTATCGCACTTACTGCACGTGATCTGGTGATTCATTATGATACCAGTATCTTTCCTACACTGCTCATGAAATTCCTTTTTGTTCTCATCAGCGGACCCAAGAGTTGAGTTGTTCATCACCCACGGTGGTCTACTGAGCACACAGGAGTCTATATGTCATGGAAAGCCCCTCATCGCTCTCCCAGTCTTAGCAGACCAGCCAAGGAACGCTAAGATGATTGTCAATCGTGGGTTGGGTCTCGCTTTGGAGTGGGAGGAACTCACAGTGAAACTTCTAGTGGAGACCATCAAAGAGGTGCTTACCAATCCCAAGTGAGTACTAGTGCCTGCTCACTATCTGAATTCATTTTCAGTGTGTGTGATTAATATTAATTGTTGTTGCTATAATTTATATATATATATATATATATATATATATATTATATATTATATATATATATATATATATATTTTAAAATATATGTATATATATATATATATATATATATATATATATATACATATATATATATATATATATATATATATATATATATATATTATATATATATATATTATATATATATATGTCGTGCCGAATAGGCAGAACTTGCGATCTTGGCTTAAATAACAACGTTCATCTTGCCATATAGGACAAGTGAAAATTTGTGTATGCAATAATTTCGCCAAAATCATTCTGAACCTAACGAAAAAAATATATTTGATTGTGTTTGTTTAGTATTAAATTATTGTAAACGTAGTTAAAATATATTTAGTTGGTTTAGGCTAAAATAAATTGCTCTTGTTATAATAAGGTTAGGTAAGTTTTCTAAGATTCTTTCGGTGAAAAATTAAAAAAAATTACATTAACATTAATGAAAAAAAATATCTTTAAACGTATAAGAGAAAATTTCAGAAAGGACTTAATTTTAAATGAGTTCTTGCTAATTGACCAGTTTTACACATTCGGCACGACAATATATATATATATATATATTATATATATATATATATATAATATATATATATATATATATATATATATCGCATTGTAACCATGAACGAGTTGTATTTAATCAATAATAACACTGCAACTAGCCGGGGGATCGAACCCGTGTTGTTTTAGCCCACCTCATGGTGAGCGAAAATTCCACGACGCTCTAACCCACGGGACCCACACCATCGTATGTCCTCGGATCACGGTACAACACCTAACTCTGCTGGGTGCATGATTCTTGTAGGATTGTATGGTCCCATGGGTTAGAGCGTCGTGGAATTTTCGGTCACCATGAGGCGGGGTAAAACAACACGTGTTCGATCCCCCGGCTAGTCCCACTTTCCTTGTCTGACTCACCTTGTCTGGGTGCAGGTACAAGCGTAACATTGAGGCGGCGTCGAGGGTGGACCGGGACCGTCCTCAAGAGCCTCTGGAGACGGCAGTTTTCTGGACCGAGTATGTGGCTCGTCATCGTGGAGCTCCGCGTCTCAGGTCCCCGGCAGCTGACCTCTCCTGGACGGAGTTCCTCATGCTGGATGTCGTGGCTGTCGTTCACATGGCAGTATTGGTCGTCTTTCTAGTTCTGCGCAGGCTACTGTCGTCTCTCTACAGCCAGCTGTTCACCTGGCATTACAAGACAAAAACAGATTAGAAAAATATGCTTGCAGCCTTACTGCCGCTTGTGATACTCAACCTAGAAGAATTGTTTATTGAAAACTTTATTATATTTATAGGAAAGTGCTAAGCCCATAGAGCTAATGCTGCGCCTTAAGCGATACTTAATGAGGTTTTGATCACAGGAAGAGCTTTCAAAAGAAAAGGTTCATTAAGAATCTCTCAAAATGAGCAGTCATTTGTTTAAAATTCTTAAATGTGATAATAAGCCAACATAAAAAAATAAAACTAGACCACGTGAAAGCAGGTGATTTTTATATATATATATAATATATATATATATATATAATATATATATATATATATATATATATATATATATTATATATATATATTGTCGTGCCGAATATGTAAAACTGGTAAATTAGCAAGAACTCATTTAAAATTAAGTCCTTTCTAAAAATTTCTCTTATACGTTTAAAGATGTATATTTTTCATTAATGTTGATGTAAAAATTTATAATTTTGCACCAAAAGGAACTTAGAAAACTTACCTAACCTTATTATAACAAGAACAATTTATTTTAGCCAAACCCAACTAAATATATTTTAGATTTGGTTACAGTAATTTAATACTAAACAAACACAGTGAAATATATTTTTTTTCGTTAGGTTCAGAATGATTTTGGCGAAATTATTGCATACACAAATTTTCACTTGTCCTATATGGCAAGATGAGCGTTGCTATTTAAGCCAAGATGGCAAGTTCTGCCTATTCGGCACGACATATATATATATATTTATATATATATATATATATATATATATATATATATATATTATATATATATATATATATTATATATATATATATATGTCGTGCCGAATAAGCAGAACTTGCGATCTTGGCTTAAATAGCAACGCTCATCTTGCCATATAGGACAAGTGAAAATTTGTGTATGCAATAATTTGGCCAAAATCATTCTGAACGTAACGAAAAAAATATATTTCAATGTATTTGTTTAGTATTAAATTATTGTAAACAAATCTAAAATATATTTAGTTGGGTTAGGCTAAAATAAATTGAGCTTGTTATAATAAGGTTAGGTAAGTTTTCTAAGATTCTTTTGGTGCAAAATTAAAAATTTTTGCATTAACATTAATGAAAAAAATATATCTTTAAACGTATAAGAGAAAATTTTAGAAAGGACTTAATTTTTAATGAGTTCTTGCTAATTGACCAGTTTTACATATTCGGAACGACATATATATATATATATATATATATATATATATATATATATATATATATATATATATATATATATTATATATATATATATATATAAGCACTGTAATCACGAACGAGTGGTATTAATCAATAACACTGCAACTAGCCAAGGACCCGAACCCATGATGTTTTGGCCCGCCTCATGGTGAGAGAAAATCACATGACGCTCCAACCCACAGGACCACCAAATCCTACAAGAACTAAGCACCCAGCCAATCTCCTCCAGCTCCTCTGAAGCCGGACACGAGCCAAGTATACAGTAAGCATTTCCCTTCTGATGGCCCTGCTGAGGAGCAAGAAATACTATATATATTATATATATATATATTATATATATATATATATATATATATATATATATATATATATATATGCTCCTAATGGCCTGTGCTATAGGCCTATGTAATTATATACAATTAAATGGCTCACAACTTCATTATTAGCCCTATTGGAAAAACGTGTATCGGAAGACATTATTAACAACTAATAACTCAATAGCAAAACAATCAACTACAAATTTGTCCCATCCTCTTAATAATAAATAAAACTGTGCAAACAATAAGAAAAATGTTTGAGTGATTTCAAATCTAGAAATTCTTAATTTCACTAAAACAGTAATTTGTAAATTTGTCAAACCTCTCAGTGAATTTTTTTTGCCAGACTATGTTGTTCAGTTAATAAAGAAAAATCATATGATTTCAGGTGAAATATTTAAGGCTATATCCTTTATAAACATAGTAAAGAAGCAGGTCTACCAGCCCACACCATGCAGGTCTACCAGCCCACACCATGCAGGTCTATCAGCCCACACCATGCAGGTCTACCAGCCCACACCATGCAGGTCTACCAGCCCACACCATGCAGGTCTACCAGCCCACACCATGCAGGTCTACCAGCCCACACCATGCAGGTCTACCAGCCCACACCATGCAGGTCTACCAGCCCACACCATGCAGGTCTACCAGCCCACACCATGAAAGGGCTACCACCCCAAAACCATGCGGTCCACCGCCCCACCATGCAGGGCTACCGCCCACAAAATGCGGGCCCCCAGCCCACACCAATTTCAGGTCACCAGCCCACACCTGCAGGTCTACCAGCCCCCACCAAAGCAGGTTAACCCGCCCACACCTTTCAGGTTTCCAGGCCCCCAAAATGCAGGGCTATCAGCCCACACCATGGGAGGTTACCAGCCCCCACCTTTCGGTTACCAGCCCACAATGCCGGTCTTTAGCCCACACCATTTCAGGTTACCCGCCCACACCTTTAGGGCTACCCGCCCACCCCCATGCAGGCTACCGGGAAACACCATGAAAGGGCTACCAGTTCCCCACCATGCAGGTCAAAACCCGGGCCCCTACCCTGCAGGTCACCAGCCCACACCCCGCAGGTCTACCAGCCCACACCTTTCAGGTCTACCCGCCCAAAACCATGCAGGGGTTTCCAGCCCACACCATTCAGGTCTACCAGCCCACACCATGCAGGTCTACCCGCCCCCACCATGCAGGGTTTCCAGCCCACACCCTGCGGTCTACCAGCCCCACCATGCAGGTCTACCCCGCCCCCCTAGATGGGGGTTCCCCAGCCCACACATGAAAGGGCTACCAAACCCAACCATGCAGGTCTACCAGCCCCCAAAACCCTGCGGTCTTCCCGGCCCACACCCTGCAGGTGTACCAGCCCACACCCTGCAGGTCTACCAGCCCACACCCTGCAGGTTTTAACCCGCCCACACCCTGCAGGTCTTTCCAGCCCCCTGATGCAGTCTACCAGCCCACACCGCGGGTCTACCGCCCCCCACCATGCGGGCTACCAGCCCCCACCATGCAGGGTTTCAGCCCACACTTTCGGTCTACCAGCCCCACCCTTTCAGGGGCACCAGCCCACACCCTGCAGGTTACCAGCCCACACCATTTAAAGGGCTTTCCCGCCCCCTAGATGCAGGGCCCCAGCCCCCCTAGTTTAGGTCTCCAGCCCACACCCTGCAGGTTACCAGCCCACCCCTTTAGGTTACCCGCCCCCACCATGCAGGGGCTACCAGCCAAAACCCCTGCGGTTTTACCAGCCCCCACCTTTCAGGTCTCCTTTCCCCCACCAAAGAGGTCTAACCCGCCCCCTTTGATGGCCCGGTCCACCAGCCCCCTGATGCGGTTACCAGCCCCCACCCTGCGGTCTACCGCCCCCCACCCTGCAGGTCTTCAGGGCCCCCACCATGAGGTCTACCCAGCCCACACCCTGCAGGTCTACCAGCCCACACCATGCGGACTACAGCCACACCATGCAGGTCTTCCAGCCCCACCTTTCAGGTTACCAGCCCACACCATGAGGGGTCTACCAGCCCCCACCCTTGCAGGTCTACCAAACCACACCATTTCAGGTCTACCAGCCCCCACCATGCAGGTCTACCAGCCCACACCCTGCAGGTCTACCAGCCCACCCATGCAGGTCTACCCGCCCACACCTTTCCCGGTTTACCGCCCATGATGCCGGGGCCACCAGCCCCCACCATGCAGGTCTACCAGCCCCAAACCCTAAAGGGCTAACCCGCCCCACCATGCGGGCTACCAGCCCCCCACTATGCAGGTCTACCCCACACCTGCAGGTTTTACCCGCCCACTAGATGCAGGGGCCCCCCAGCCCACTAGATTTAAAGGGTTTCCCCGCCCAACCTGCAGGTCTAACCCGCCCACACCCTGCAGGTTTTCCCGCCCCCACCATGCAGGGCTTTCCAGGCCCCCTAGATGCAGGTCCACCAGCCCCCTTGAGGGGTTTTTACCGCCCACACCATGCAGGGTTTCCAGCCACCCATGCAGGTCTACCAGGCCCCCACCATGGGGTTCCACCCACACCATGCAGGTTTTCCAGCCCCACCATGCAGGTCTACCAGCCCAAAACCAAAGAAAAGGGCTACCAGCCCCCCCCCCCATGCGGTCACCAGCCCACACCATGGCCCGGTTTTCCCGCCCACACCATGCAGGTCTACCACCCCCTAGATGCAGGTCCCCAGCCCAACAGATGCAGGGGTTTTCCCCGCCCCCCATGCAGGTTACCGCCCCCCAAACCCTGCAGGTCTAAACCCGCCCCCACCATGCAGGTCCCCCAGCCCCACCCCCCCCCCCCCCTTTCAGGTCTACCAGCCCACACCCTTTCGGTCTACCAGCCCAAAACCATGCAGGTCTACCGCCCACACCATGCGGGCTACAGCCCCCACCCTGCAGGTTACCCGACCCCCTAGATGCAGGTCCACCAGCCCACTAGATGCAGGTTTTTACCAGGGCCCCCAACCCTGCAGGTCTACCCGCCCCCCAAACCCTGCAGGTTACCAAACCCACACCTTGCAGGTACCCCGCCCACTTGAAAGCGGTCACCAGCCCACTAGATGCAGGTCTACCAGCCACCCCCATGGGTCTACCCGCCCCCACCATGCGGTTACCAGCCAAAACCATGCGGGTCTACCCCGCCCACACCTTTCAGGTTACCAGCCCACACCATGCAGGTCTCCAGGGCCCCCCCTTTCAGGTCTACCAGCCACACCATGCAGGTTACAGGGCCCCCACCTGCAGGTCTACCGCCCCCACCCTGCAGGTTACCAGCCCACACCTTTCAGGGTTTCCCGCCCCCTGATGCAGGTTCCCCCGCCCAGTAGATGCAGGTCTACCGCCCACACCATAGGTCTACCAGCCCACCATGCAGGTTACCCCCCCAACCCTGCAGGGGCTACCAGCCCACACCATTTTCAAAATCTACCGCCCCCATCTTTCAGGGTTTTTCCCGCCCAAAATCATGAGGTCAAACATCCCACACCATGAGGTTTTTACCAAACCAAAACCATGCAGGTCTACCAGCCCCTTTGATGCAGGGCCACCCGCCCACTAGATTTCAGGTCTACCAGCCCCACCATGCAGGTCACCAGCCCACAACCCTGCAGGTCTACCAGCCCCCAAAATGCAGGTCCCCCCAGCCCCACCCCTGCCCGGTCTACCGCCCAAACCATGCAGGTCTACCGCCCCCACC